CATTGGAACGACTACGTCTATGTAGGAAATATATTTATTATTTATCGATATGCATCTTTTGTGATTTGATATATTTCGAATAATATTGGACAATGTTACTTCCAGGTGTTCTTGTCCGAAATCTCTTGTTCTTTCTGAAGATGAGAAAACTTGTAGAGCAGCACCAGCTTGTGGTTCAGATCATTTTACTTGCGCGGCACCTAGTTCTGCAATGGCAAAAGATTGTATACCTGCAACATGGAAATGTGATGGCCAAACGGATTGTCCTGACGGAAGCGATGAACTAGGATGCCCGGCTTGTAGTCGCGAACAGTTCAAATGTCAAAGTGGTCATTGTATTGGTAAGAAGTAATCCATCACGCTAACAAAAATTATTCATCATAAATTAAAAATGAGAAAACCATGACTTATTATGAAATGTTTATGTACATATTAGATATGTCATGGGTATGTGACGGAACAGCCCAGTGCCATGATGGCCTAGATGAAGCTCATTGTTGTCCTGATCAATTTCAATGCATTGGAAATGGTGTTTGTATTTCCACTTCAAATCTTTGTGATGGTTGGGAGGATTGTGCTGATGGTAGCGATGAATTTCCAACCTTGTGTACACCTGCAAATAATCCTCGACAAGAAAGCAATTCATTAGAATCTGGAAAAATTACCTACGTTATTGTTGTACTTATTGCATTGACTGCAACAATAGCTGCAGTTGCTTTTGGATTTTATTATTGCAGAAGGAAGTTCATAAATAATGAGGAGTTACCTGATATTTTACACGATTCCGCTGGAGATCCTTTGTCACCAAAACCAGCAAGGTTGGCAAAACCAATGTTTGCACAGAAAAATTGTAGGAAAGATCTAAAAATAGGAATGGAGACTGTTGGGATGTCGATGCTAAATGGAAGTAGTATTGGATCTAGTTATGATCGAAGTCATATTACTGGTAAGTTGTTTTCCTTTAATAAATTTGTATAATTACCAAATTGAAAACAAACCTTACATTACGTTTATGATTATGCAAAGCTAATCATTATGTATTTTTACGATAAAATATTTCGATTAGGTAAACAGTTCGGTAAATACATATAAGTAAAACAAAATTTGTTTCTTAAGGTGCATCGAGTTCAACACGAGGAAGTTCAGCAGGAGGTTATCCTCAAGAAACGTTAAATCCTCCTCCAAGTCCAGCAACAACAGCAAATTCTACCAGATGCTCAAGCAGTAATGCGTCTAGATATAAACCTTATAGACATTATAGAAGTATTAATCAACCTCCACCTCCGACTCCTTGCAGTACAGATGTTTGTGACGAGTCGGATAGTAATTATCCAGCGAGATATAGATATGAAAGTGAACCATTTCCTCCGCCTCCTACTCCAAGGTCTGTTTATCAAAGTGATGCAGGAATTAGTTGTCCTCCATCTCCTAGCTCAAGATCATCGACATATTTTAGTCCACTTCCGCCACCACCCTCTCCTGTTCCTTGAATATACTGCACTTTTTAAATCTTATCCTCCATAAAATCGTATTTTTTACAAAATTTTAAAAGATTTTAGGAAAACTTGAGATTTTGTTAGAATGTTTATAATTTATTTGTAAAGAGAATTAGCATGTATTCCTTTTTAATGATTGACATCGACAAACGTTAACTTTTAAATTTATTCATTCTTGTGAAGTAAGAATGGACAACAAACGCTCTAAATTATATTTAGAAGCGGCAATTCAAGATAAATCGTGTCGAAATAGAGATAAAAAACTTTCCATTTCGCTCACTTTTTGTAGAATGCCCAAAATGAGTGCAGCTTTATTACTTTCGATTACAAAGCAGTACTGATCAATTTTCAATCTGCGCCTATGCCTAATTTAAAGGGCTACTCCACTTTGACCAGAAAAATCGAAACTATTTCATGCATTTTTAGGCAGGTATTATGCGCGATGCAGCGCGATTTTAATTGCTCGAACTGAATTCTGAAAGAAGGATAGTTATATATTAAATCTTAACGTCATAACGCTTAACATTTATGTTACCATTTTTAATCTACCGATCGATTGATGTTGTTCCAGTCAAAACAATTTTCTACATAACGTACATAGAAAGTTTTTAGAATCTTAAGTTTTGAGGAAATGAACATTTAAAAAAACAGTATCGTTCATAGTAAACAAATTTTATAAAACTGTTCAACCAAAACTTTTGTTGTCTTTTTAATAATTGTAGCAATAATAACGAAACCAACTAGTCTAAATGAAAGATGACAGTACGTCGTAGATATGTAGAATTTATGAATACAGTGAGATTTGTTCTTGCAGCTATGAATTATGATTTAAGTTAAAAAAAATTCGATTTCTTTAAATTTTCAAAG